AAAATGTAGCTGGGTTGGGTTTCTAGAGCAGAAGGACTGTCCCAATAAAGAGTTGAACTTGCTGAGTTTGGGCAGAGGTGACGTCATGGAGCTACTTAAGGGGGAAAGAATATAATCATGTTATAGTGTAGAAAAAAATCAGCTAATAAATATCAATTCAATAAATTAATTAATTTAATATGAATAAAAACTAGAGTGAAGGAAGTGCAAGAGAGTGGAGGGGCGGAGCCGTGCCGAGCATTTGCCTGTGTGTGTAAAGCTGCAGGACGGGGGCTGCAGCCCAAAGGAGGCCCAGAAATGGTTCTTGAACTTGTTTCTGACAGAAAGAGCCTCAGAAAGCACATGGACACAGTTCCCCCGGTTCAGCTGTGCCATGTGCGTTACCAACAGCTCCGGGACCTCTGGGCTCCTCGAAAGATGTTGGAGTTCACGAAGAGAGAGGATTCGGTCTTTCGCTCTCCTTTCCTTTCTTGCCTTCTCTCGATGTCAAGGGAGGCTGGCTGAGTCACGATTCTAAATAGGTCACAGCTATGGAACAAAAGGAGCCCTCCCGGTTCTGTTCAGTCACCTCTCACACCGAAGAGCATTTACTCAGTGTGTTCAAGCTGTCTGCACAACACACTCTTGCTCCCATTTTCTCTTTGCCCAAGTTGGTTTAATCCTGGCACTTCACAAAATGTGTGTATCCGTGAAAGTGGGAAGATTCTACTCGTGTGGGAAAGAACCCCCTGAAAGGGCGAAATAAAACCAGAGAAGCAGGGACGCAGGCCCAGATCTGGCAGTGAAGACGCACAGCTGTGCAGGTTCGGTGCAAGATTTCAGAGGACAAGCCCCCCCCCCCCCAATAAGTTTCTAATCAAATGCCAGAATTTGAAACTTGCCAAAATTCACCACCACCCCTCCTTGGCTGCCTTAACTGTTTAAATCATTCCTTTTTATTGCCTCTGACTAGGCCCTGAACAATAGTGGAAATGCCCACTGATGGATGACTCTGGCGATTTTGAGAGTTATCATGTAAAATGAAATGCTGAGTGGCATTCCTTTCTCTGTGGGATTTATATTCACACTCCTCCTCACAGTCAGCAGCCACCCTCCAGCCCATCATAGCCATGCCAATCCCTCTGAGGGTGACCACACCCACAACCCCCTGTTGCTGCTGTTGAGACAGTGTGGTATGTTGATCGCTCTGTGTTTTCAAAGGTTAAAGTAGGAATAGACCGCTTAAGAAAATGGTGTGTTTACATAATTCTTGCCTACCTGCTTGCTTCCTTCTTCATTAGGAAAACTCGAAGTGATGGGCTTTGCTCAGATCTCAGAATAGCAACAAAACCACACACTGGAGCCTCCAGAGTCCCTATAGAATTTTCGCCTACAGCCCCCGCAGATTTTTACTGGCTTTCTGGGAGGAAGTGAGCTAGGTGTGAGGAGATGACTAAGACAGTAATTGGCAAACATCTCAGATTCAGCAATCACGGTTATCAGATGGGAAGTGTTTGGGAGGCACAGGGAGTTCTGAAAAAAATCCCCAAGGTTGCCCACTCAGAAAGCGAGACTTTGAGTAGACTGCTCAGAGCAAATTAAAAGCAGTAGGACAGTAATGAAAGGCTGGTTAGGGAAGAAGTGCCGATTGTTCAAGACAGATGGAGACGATGTCTCACAAGGAAAATGAGCTACACAAAGTGAAAGAAATGAGCCCAAATGATTCATTTGCCAGAGTGCTTTCTTTTTTTTCCCCCAGCTCCTCCTCACTCCCTCATTCCCTCTCTTCCTCCCTCCCTTCCTCCCTCCTTCCCTCTCTTCCTTCCTTTCTTCCTCCCTCCTTCCTTCCCTTCCTTCCTCCCTCTGCCCCTCGCTCCCTCCCTCTCTTCCTTCCCTCTCTTCCTCCCTTCTTTCCTTCATAGAGTCTCGCTGTATGATCCAGGCAGACCTGGAACTCATGCTCTTCGGGCTGTTTCCCAGGTGCTATGCTTAGGCGTGCACTAACATACCTGGAACAAAAGCTTTTCTGGATGCCTTTTCCTGTCAGTCAGTGCTCTGGGCTGACCAGAGGAAGAGGGGTTGCCATTTGTCTCCTAGCCCTTGAGTCCAATCTTGGTGCATGAAAATGAAAGAATCGGTTCCCTTAGACACTAACAAACGCTTCCAAGGTTGGGACAATTACATCATCCATACCTTGGGCCTTCATACTGTATCATCCCGTTGTAGACAGTGGAAAGACAAGAAAGAGGGATAAGAAAGAGGACCTACCTAGCTGTTATAACGATCTGCTATGAAAACAACTAACCCATTCCTGTAATGATGGCAGTACTCCGTTTTTGGGGGCAGAACGCATGGTTGGATCACCTTCTATCGGGCACCACCTTAATGTTTACTGGTGATTGATTTTTCCAATGCAGGAACTCTGGAGAATACATTCAAAATACAGTCGAGTCCAATGTGTGGCCATAGATTGAAGAGACAAATTACAACGGCCATTTTAGGGACAACTGGAAACATTTGAATATGTGATTAGCTTTATGTGATATTAAGAATTTATCATTTTTGTTAGATGTGACATTTTGGTTATATATAATGATATTATGGTAAGTTTAATTTTTTTAAAGTACACAAATGCATTTAAATTCTTTAAAATTAAATACACATCAAAGCTTAAGAAAAGTTCAGGGCTGGGGTACTGCTTGGTAGAAGAGAGCTTGCTTACATAGTGTATTTTGGGGAAAAAAGGAAGGAGGGAGTGACGAGGGAAAATCTTGAGGTTTTCTGTTTTCAAACATGATTTGAATACATTGAAAATCCAAAGTAGCTATACAAAATGTGTTAGTAAGTACATCAGGCTGAGGCCAGAACACTTGCCTCGGATGCCTTCAATCTCAGCCTTGCAAAAAAAGGATTTTTTTAATGCATGTATTTTTAGAAATGTAAAGTACCTGGACATATGAGAAACACAGGCAGACTAGCCAGGAAGACAGTGCAGGGTTCCAAGTGACCACTGCCTCTTAAAGCAACATGTGGAGAGAGGAGAGGTGAAGTGGGAGGGGGCATTTTTCTTTAAAGCCTTTCAAACTGAAAATATGGAGGAATGATTTTGACAATGTATCTCAGGATCAATACACATCCAAGTCCACTTCCTACCTACAGTCTTAGAATTTTGTGGTTAATCTTTTCAAAGATGACTTCTATTTTACATAGTTTCTAAATAGAAAACAGAGGAGGAGAGGGAGAGCAGGAGAGGGAGGAAAGAGAGAGAAACAGACAGACAGACAGACAGACAGACAATTCTTTTCAGGGCTTCCTACTTATTTAGACAAGAATACATGCCAACATATTTTGGAAAGAAATTTTTGTTTACATAATTGAACCCAAAAGGGATTGTGAACAAGGAAATTCAGTTAGCCACAGCATTCTCTAAGCATCCTGGTTAGCTAACAGGCTTGGTAAAGCCTCAATCAAACTGAAAATACATGTCCAAGTTAAGTGCTATGGATCAAGGGCAAAGGCCATAGCAAGCCATGTTCAAAATGCTAAAGGGACTCCTGATAGTGTGAGCCTTAGAGGACATGATGGACAGAGCCTCACACATGATATTAATGTGCAATGGCATGGAAAGGATGCACAGGCTTTGGGAGTAGACAATATAGCCTTTCATCTTGATCACAAAATTAATGTTCCTTTTTTTTTTTTTTTTCAAGACAGAGTTTCTCTATGTAACAGTCCTGGCACTCACTTTGTAGACCAGGCTAGCCTCTGCCTCCCAAGTGAAAATTAATATTCTTAATAAATAGGTTTAATAAGAATGTCATACCTAAGAGAAAAGTACTACCAGAAAGACATTTCTACATGTTTGACATGGATTGTAAAATATAACTTCACCAGTGCTCTTGTATGGGGAGGTGACTTGTTAATGTTTTTATTCACTAAATCTCTTTTTATCAGATATAAATAAGAAATTTATGGTTTGATCTGATTAATCAAGGATGAATGAAAACTCAGGGGGCTGGCACACGTGCCCACACACATCAACACAAAAATAAATAAGTATAAAAGATTGAAAAGCATAAAATAAAACCCCATTACTTTCAAGGATTATTCTTCCCACTTTTAGTGATTGGAATGGCATATTATTATAGTCATAATTTGGTGGGCAGCATTAACATATTACTACTTATCCAATTAATTGGTTGATTTTAATTCATTGATACGCTTAACAGTCCTTATTCTTTTCAAAAATAATTGTTGCTTCTGCATGCAGGCAATACGGTAGGCTCTGGGAATGCAGCAGTAAACATGACAAACACAATCCCCCACTACATGACGTTTAGAGCCTACTGGGTAAAGAAGCTACCTAACAAGAAATTGGGATGAAACGTAATTGTTTCTTAGGGGAAAGTAGATGAATACCTTGTGAGCACGTAGCAAGGGGTCTGGCCATGTCAGTAAAAACACACAGCAGGCCCCTCAAAGCCCTTTCGATTACCCACCCCACCCCACCCCCACTCCATTTCTTCAGAGTTGAAAATGCAAGGGTAAATACACCAGGGATTTGGGTGGCTATCTGGGAATAGGGCTGGGCTGTCACAGTTAAGTATATGATCATCTGCTGAGGTCCATTAATGATGTAGTTTATGTTGGCTGGCTTTCCTCCTGGTGAGCTTGGCCTCCCAAAGATGGGAGACAGAGGGACATGGCACTATTGAGATGTCATAATTTTATGGACAGTTGCTTCAAGCAGACAACAAGGTCTGACATGAGCCTGCTACTAACCTGAATAAAGACAATAAAATTGCAGCACCGAGTAATTCCACAGGGAGGTTAAAATGAATATGGGATCCTTAAGTTTCCTCTGACTGTTTGGACTTGTAGGATGGGGAAGATCTACTAAGCACATTCTGAAATTCTAACTGTCAGCAAAACTTGCGTTTATCTTGTGACCCAAGCTTTTTTTTTTTTAAGTCATATTCTGAAATGTCTTTTTTTTTTTTTGTCTTTTTATTTCCCTCCAGAATGTCCTCATTGTTGAGGTAAGCTGGCCTTTCCTTTTCAGTATTGGAAGTGATAAGAATCCAATCGTGAATTTTAAAATCCTTGCCTTGTTTATCAAATTGGCCAAGTATTGAGTCCCCGCTGCATGCGGCTCTTCAGATGTGTTCAACAGAAGCCAACTGTAGCCACTAGATTCAAATAATTCAAAATCAACACTTCAATAATGACTATTTGATAGTTGGTCCTGTTTTATATCCAATCTCACACACATCTCGATCGGTTCTTTCGTGGATTTATGAGGCAGACAGTTGCAGGGAGAGTTAACTAGTTTGTAGAACCAGTCAATGTGTTTACTGTTATTTATTTAACAGGAAAACCAAGGCTAGAATTCTCCTTACCTAATGACCTCTAATCCATTCTCGAGCCTCAAAAAACATAAATTCAATCAATTAACATGACAATCTAAGGAAAAGTTATGGGTTTTTTTTTGGGGGGGGGTCTTTGGTTGTTTTGGTTTTGCTTTTCTGTTAAGAAAGAAACAGAAAGGCTGTCTTGTGACTGCGGCAGACCCCCACAGTAAACAGTCATGCTCCCTCAAGAGCACACCCGTCTTCTCAGCCACCAAAAATCCAGAGGATCTTCTTGTGGTCAGGCTTTTGTTCCACATTTGTCTGTGTGTCCTTCTGTATGCACAGTTCTGGCTCCACACAACTCAGGGAGTAGACCTTCCAGCCAAGTGAGTCGCTGGACCCTGGCTAGACACAGACCTGTTGTGTTCCTCATCAGCGCCTGACAGCTGAGTTCCGTCAGGAGGACGGTAAATCGCAGCGGCCAATTCTGTGCAATTGTGCGTCCACAGCTCATCAGCAGCGGAGACCCTGTGCTCACTGCAGCCCAGGAGCTCGGAACTCCTGGTTGTCGCCAGCTGCTGCCCAGACACATTTAGCTTCCCAGCCACAGCATCCCCTAAGGAGCAGGGAGGCCAAGGAGGTGTTTATCCTTTCAGTGTATTCAGACGTACATCCCATGTCCATGAAAATTCATGTGTCTCTTGTATTGTGAAATGTAACCTCCAGGCCAAATTTAGTTCCTGACTGTGCATACAAGAGTCCGGGTACACTCAATGAGGAAGGGCTCACATGCTCTCCCGAGGCTGAACTGAATCCTTCAACACAGCCAAAGGATGCAAAAACAGAATATTCACCAGCATAATCTCCAGCTTCCAAACGATATGCCCATGAACACATAACTGATTCTGCTTCCTATGTTGACTCCTGTTGGCTGGTATTTGAAATTAATGTGCATTGTATTAATAAGGAATAGCTCCGCAAGTGTAAAGAGTGTTATGTTGCCGAGCATTTGTATATGTGCAAATTGCTTTGTCGAACTTTCTGCTTTTTGCAAAGGACGTTGTTGGAACTGGGAGGACCATGAGAGCACTGCTCAGCAGCATCGAGAAATACAAACCCAACATGGTTAAGGTAGCCAGGTGAGTCAGACACCACGGTATAGTGCTCTGTCCTTCCAAACAAGACCAAGGAGCATCCTCTCACAGAACACTGTCCCAAGCCATTGGCCCTGAACCAGGGATGCTGTGGTTTGACCACCCTGACAAAGAGCTCATCTGATTGCTAGCCTGAGAGAGAGAGAGGGGAGAGGAAGGCCCTTAACAGGAGCCCTTCTCCACATGCTTCTGGGAGCAGCTGGGAGAGCCCTCAGCAGTGGCTCAGCACGCTTCCTTTTATCTAGCACAGGGATGCCATGCTGCAGCCACAAAGGCAGGAGTTAAAGCAGGCTGCCATGATGGCCACAGGCTTCGGGGGAGGGTACGCAGCTCAACGGTGTTTAATTCTCTATGCAATTCGCATCCCGATTCATTGGAGTTGTTAAATGTTGGGGTGTTTGTTTGTTTGTTTGTTTGTTTTTAATGGCAGTTTGTTGGTGAAGAGAACAGCCAGAAGTGACAGCTTCAGACCTGACTGTAAGTGATTCAGGGTTTGGGGTGGTTTTCTGGTGTTGGTGTTTCATTTTGGCACTTCATGTGAGACTAATAGTCCTACAAATTCTTTGTCCCCACCACCTTGCGATGGAGGCTAGGGCTCCTTGAGCGTCCACATCTTTATGTTTGCATCTTTCACAACAACTCCTTTGTATATATTGGATTTGTTTTAAACTTTGTGTTTGTTGTGTTTTAAAAAAACCTCACTGGTATGTAACTCAGTCCAGGCTACTATACAACTCAGCTTTGTAGCCTAGGCTGGCCTTAAATAGGCATGTACCCTTCTGTTCCAGCTCCCTGAGTCCTGGGATTACAGGTGTTCCCCTGGTGCGGGTGGATGCTTCTACTGTTACATTGTATGCAGTTGTCTGTTTTAGGGTGGAGATAGACCTACTCCCCTAGGACTAATTCAGACATTCAGGATCCCTAACTGGCAGCTATTGCCACCAATCAAAGAGGCACCCCAAAGCTTTAGAAGGATTATCCTACCTCCTTCCAGACCCTGCACATTCATTAATCTCCCTGCTACCTCCATCAAAAATTCAGGAACACACACAGAACGTGAGCAAGCAGAGCTCTCAGGATGCTGGGTTCACACTTGACTCAAACATGTGCTCTGGGGCACTTTGCTTATCCGGGGTGCCTTGCTGTCCTCCTCATAATAAGATTGGTTCTGATACCAGGAGGGACAGACAAGCCACTTAATTATTTATTATTCTAAACAAGCAGTGACTTTTTTTTTTTTAACTTGCGTAAGGCAGACTTCAGCTAAAATTCTCTAACTTGCATTTGCTCTGAAGCCCCTAGGATAATTTGGCTCCAGTTCTCATTAGTAAGATGAAAAAAAATTAGACAAAGTAGTAGTATGGAGGGGTCAGGAGCCAGGGTTTCTTCATTCTTAACACGTATGTCCTTTGCGGATTCCTAACTGCACCACAGGTCACCTCTGGGCAGATAGCTAGAGTCCATGCCTATTCCTATTGAATACTGGCTTTGGGATCTGGTCTGTATGTCAATATCATTATGTGGGGTTATCAAGCAGAAATTTTGTGAGGAAATTTTGTTAATTGACATTGAAAACCTGGGGCTGGAGGGATGGCTCATCAGTTAAAAACATACTGTTCTTGAAGGGCCCAGGTTCTACTCCAGCATCTATACAAGGCAACTCACAGCCACATGTCACTCCATTTTCATGGGGATCAGATGTGTCTGGGCTCTATAGTCACCTGCATACACACACACACACACACACACAC